TCTTTGATATAAGAGTTAATTTAGATTAAAGATGTTTATTGAGTTAGTTATTTGTAATAATTATGTGTTGTTTTTCCTAAAATATCTTTGCTAATAATATATTAGCTAAAACTACTATTTGATTAAACATTTAATACATGCAACTACTACAATAACTACTTTAAAAAAATATATAAGTATGAAAGATAAAATAGATTGAGATCTTATATTTAGGATTATATTGAAAGTCAAACTGACTCTTATATTAAGTAGCTGGAGGTAGTATATATACTTACAATTTGCAAAGTAGTAGATGAGAATCATGGGACATGAGCACTACATAGGCCTTTCTTGTGGCTTTTAATTTGGGAGCTGCGAGTACTGAGGAAGACAAACAAGGAGGAGCTCCCTTCAGTCCAAGCACAGAGAAAGAGGGAAGCAAAATATCTGCTGCTTCATTCACACAATCACAGTATCAAAACGGTCCCGTTTTAATCCCTACTGAGTATGTGTATGAATGACTCAGCAGTTACTTCAGCAACCCTTAATTCTTCATCCATGGCTGGGCTGAAGGAAGCTCCTATTTTTCAACCCTCTCTCACCTCCTCATCACATACATGCTTTAACCTGTCAACATAGGCTCATCTGAAGTCAGAGAGATTATAAATTAAAACAGTTCTTCTAAATCAATTCATCCACAAGGCTCAAATACGATAATATTAAAGGCCTTTTTTTCTCTTGTATGAGAAGTTAATTAGTTGAGCATTAATTAACTTCGAAAGAGAGAAGTAGGAACGTTTGTATGGAAATAAGATTATAGAAGACGGATTTCTTGTCATCACAACAATCGAGGGGTTTTAACTATGAAAACAATGACTTGAAACTTGAGTCTCGATCAGACTGGTATGAACATGAATTGTTATAAGCTACTAGCAAATTAAATTAGCCTGATGAAGAGATTGTTCCAGAAGTAAGAAGCAGCTTGTCAAAAGTAAAACTGGAAGGGGTAAAAATAGAAGGAAAATTTGAAACAAGAAAGAGGAGGTCTACCTAGGGACGCCAAGAAGCAAGCGAAAAACTGGAGGCCGGGCCGTGTCAACAAAAACATATTGTAATGATCAGCTAGCTAGCTAACTGATGAAGTTAAGCATATTAATGCAAGTTTAGGGCTTCACAAAATATTTAACCTATGCTTTTCTTGAATAACCCTTTCATAAATGTTGGTGAGAAACAAATATGTGGAAAGCTTATAACACTCGGACAAATAAGCAAAGGAAACCCTACTTTTGCGAAACGCTGGACCCATGAATTAGAGGATCAAGAATGGTGAATTAATATTAGCTACAACATCGGACATGCTTACCTTGGTGACCAAACCAATTAAGAATTCAGGGAAGAGAAGAAAAGACAGATCTCCCCATATTCTCAGGCTTAAGTAAGCCGGAGCAGCCCAGTTTATCAGAGCTTGGGAGACGAGAGAAGAGGATATAATGCTTGGAGGTTGAACATGTATGTCCGAAAGCAGAACCTCAAAAAGTCAATCAGCCAGCTGAAACCCTAAGTCTGGTATGCTTTTTATGAGAATCTCCGCCGGAGCCTACACAGGAGGAAAATGAGATATATAAAAGAAACGAAAACGTACTGTGATCTGTAAAGACCAAAAAGGACCCGCAGCTTAAGGATGTCCATTGGATTATTAGGGGGAGAGAATTTTTTTTTTTTTTTTTCCATTTTGTTTTGAGATTCCCTTTCAGAGCTAAAAAACGAAAATTCAAAAGAGACACGATGATGATGATGATATTATGATAATGAGTCATTGTCGTCATGAGAGTCAGAGACAGGGAAATAAATACAGGTTGTAATCTGGTGACACAACCTTATGGGGCTAAGGAGAATCCGAACGACAGTAAATTCCATTATTTATACGAATATAGAAACTATATTCTGCAGAAAGCAGACGGGCAGAGATAGAAGCACAAATATTATACAAGTGTTAAATAAATTGGGGGGGGGGGGGGACAAAACGAGCTAGGCTTTGTGGGAATGTGATGAGCATGGACTCAAATGATGTTTGGTTTCATCTATAGAGAGAGAGAGAGAGAGCCGACACCTTCCCGTCATTTTCGAAGCTACTGTTCAAGCATATGCAACTGGGTCTTTAACTTGAAAAAAATCTAGTTTATATATACATACTACGACATCATCTGAAGTACAAAGATGTATTGTTAATGTTCGTACGGTAAGTCTCACAATAGCTAGTTTTCCACAATGAAGTTCGGCGACGGACGAGAAGAAAAACCGAATATGATTGAAGCTTTTATTTTGGCATAAACAATATCAGCAAATACAACATACGCATCATACATGCATGTGTATACCATTCACAACCAACATGAAATCATTGAGTTTATATAATGAAAGTATATATTGCTGATCAGCATCGCGAGATTCAAGAAGGGTCACAATGAAAATACACAGGGGGACCAGTGTATGACATTTTTTTGAAGATTTTGGGCTTAAGCATGATTAGACAAGGTTAATTAAGGGAAAATGGCGAAGGAAATTGACAATAGGCGAGGGCAGATATGATTATTTGCCATAATTGTAACTGAGAGACATCTATCTAACAGCTGAGTAAACCTTTTCGCTCATTTATTTTTTTGAAAACTTAGTCCTTCTTTATAATTTCATAAATTCACGGTTTTTTTATTAAAAAATTAATTTTCTTTTATGATTATTTCCCAAATAAAATTTCATAGAATCTTTAATTATCAATTATCTGTCACCCAAGATCAAGACCGAAAGTGGAGCATGAGATTTTAAATTCATATAAATATTTAAAGCTATGACAAATTCTTTAATATGATAACTTTTTAATGATAGCTGGTCTTTAATTTGAATAGGAAATCACTGGAAGAGCCAGAGTGCTGCTAAAAATAATAGAAGAGCAATAAGGAATTATAATAATTACTAGTTTTTTCGAATGGTCTTTCACATGATATAGGAAAACTACAATAATTAAATAATCAAGAATTGAATCTTGGTCCTTTTTAGTTCTTCTTAACAGAAACTAAATTCTAACACTATATAATACTCTTCTATCAAGACACACACACACGCACAGAATTAGGCCCGTTCATTTAGGCTTTTTTTTTTTAAAAAAAAAAACAATCACCCATTTTTTCAAGAAGAAATATTTTTGAAAATTTGTTTAAGCTTTTAAAAATAATCCAATTTTTTTTAAAAACAGTTTTTTTTAATTGTTTTGAGAAGGTATTTAAGTAGTTTTCTTTAATAATAATCTGTTAGGGAATATAAGCAAAAATATTATAAAAATAAGAAAATACGCGAAGATATCATAAAAATGTAAAATAATTAGATATATGAAGAGAAATTCATGGAGATATCACGAAATCAGAAAATCATTAGACAATAACTTTTTATAGTAATGACCAAACAAAAAACATATTCTCCTTTTTACAAAATCTATATAAAATAAATGACTTTTTTAAAATTATTTAAGAAGTATTTATTTATTTTAAGTCTAAACAAATGCACCCATAATCCTGTTAAAAAGCTGCGCAATCTGATGCGGGTGTTTGGCTGGGTGAGATAGGTGGATGGTCATGGAGATCGCCCGTAAATCTGCGCGCGTGCGTCTTTGATCCCAAATACATACCGAAGCGATATGTACCCCTTGGCAATTTTTTTTTTTTTTTTGCCAACCCATTGGCCATTACATGGATTGCTTTTGATAGTCACATTTGCAATCATAACATATAATATGGTGGTGTGCTAGCCCATTGTGGTACCATTATATGATGAGCCCCCTTAACTGCAAGTCATACAAGAGCTGTGCAAAAAAAATGTGATGAACTATACGAGAGTAAGGTTTAATAGAAGGGACTAATCTCTCACAACATAACAAATCAAAGTTTCAATTTTTAATGAGAGATATGTTTATATTTAGTACTTGACGGTCAGCACCTCAATTGGATCAAATCCTCAACCAGAAATCCTAGGATTTTGGTAAATAAATGAGGAAAATGGGTAAGTTAGGTACAATGTGCGAATTAATGGAGACATTTATTCGTGTTTCTGAAAACAAAGTGGAGAATGACTTGTCCAATCAGGCATGATCCTTACATCAAGTGTGTTTTGTCCCCACCTATTATATTACGTTTACACCCATCTCTCGTGCCAATCTTGCCCCAGTGCTGCGTTTCATCTTCCCAGCGGGGTCGAGGGTCTGAAACCAAAGGATCGGGTAAAAGAGAAGGAAACATTGTTACATACTTTTGACAAATGAGGGGAGCCGGGAAGGAAATATTATGAACATGTGAATATGAGACAGAAGTCAACAGCGAGAAGCGAAGTGGCGTAATGGAGGAGGATGATGATGAAGTATGCCTTTCGAGTTTCTATAATCCGAATCCACTCTCGGGATTGTGATTAGATTTGCGCTCTTCACTTTTGGGAATCCCTCGTCAACAACTAATGCACCGTTACATCAGGATCATCCAAATGCACCGATACACCGCCAACCAAAAAAAAGTTGATACTTCCTTTCCGTTTCCTCTATTCGAATTTGGGCCACAATCTAATTCCCAAATCCAGGCCTTCTTTTCTTCATATTATTTCAATAATCCTCTTTGAAAACCCTAACACAGTCCGCAAGTTTCCCGACGAACAATCACTAACGTTTCAACGGCCAAATAGCGGCAGATTTTTTTAGTTTTCTTTGTCGGTATTTAAGTTCCGTTCCAGTTACTTTTCTAAATACCTGCTTATTGGTACCCATAGGCATAATTGGTCTCAAACCAACTAAACCATTAATATAAACTAAATCATTCATCAACATTGATTTACCATTTATTAATATTGACGAACACCGTAAACATATTTCTCGAAATAAAGAGCAATGCCAGCCCTCGAAAATGCATCAAGCCAGCAACGAACTGGTCAGCATATTTGCACAATCCCCGTGAAAGCATATATATAAACAAAAATATGGCGAGGGAGAAAGGCTGGACTTAAATTTCGAAGGGATGTAATATTATGAACAAATTTGTGTTCATCATGATTTTTGGCAAATGTGGAAATATCAGGAGAGCGAATCCTTTCGTTTCAGTATCTGGCAGCAAAGCAAAAACCCCTTGCTCATCGTACCTTATGACAACAATCGAACATGTGCTTATGTACTAAATGTGAACCATATTTATGATGCTTTCCTTCAGTCTGATTTTTTGGGGCAGCCATTGATGAGAAAACTTCTCAAATCATAGAACAAAGTAAGGGCATTTTGTAGGTAAAATGCGGGGTGAAATGATAATCCAACCTGAAAAACACTTAGAGAGCCTAAAACAGCTGGAAAATTAGACTTGTCGATCCGTCTCCAAAGGTCCGTAGTTCAGCGGGTTTTACCAATGCTCTGCATAGCGGGCAAGTCCGTTCTCTCTCAAACCTGAAGAGTCAGTGCCGTTTTGTTCGTCAAGAAAGGAGAGATAACTATGATTACGAGTAAAATAGAATCCAATTTAGATTTAGATATATCTCATTCATTTATCTTCATCAGCATTGCTAAGCATTTGATGAATCAGTGGCAAGAATCAAAGTTCTATTTTCTAGGAGCCCCGGCCATTGAAAAGAATACAACACCAGCACAAACACCATCATGTTAAAAGATATCTGCGTGAAATTCTAAGCGTTCCATCATGTTTGCCTAACACGAATATCTTGCATGTGCCCCATATGGACATGGCTCTTTTCCAAAAGTGCCCATGCTTTGTGGTCCATAATCAACAAAAGTCAGTGCTTCCGTTCTACCCATGAGACTAAGAAAACCCAAGTGAATGCACAGTGATATAGCATATGTTCTTTTCGCATGGAAGTTTCTACATGTAGGCTGTAGACCAGATTGCCCTTTCCAGAAAATTCTAGTCCCTCTAACCATCCCCCGCTGGTTCGATTCGTTTTTTCTTTTTAAAAGACTCAATTTCCCCCCAGAAGTACCAATAAAAACTCATTATCGTAGTTATTATGATTATGAATATCATAAAGAAACGAGGGAGGGAGTTTAAGCCTGCCTCAAAAAAGGTGGCCAAAGTCGTTTTAAAATGGAACATAATCAACCAAGATTAACACATTCAATTTTATCTAATGAAGAAACACTTTTACCTAGTTGTTGTTTACCCTAAACAATTATTAGCTATTGGCTTCAAAAGATGAGTTTATTTGGTAAAAAAAACATGAGTTTATTACTTTTTAACATCTTGCAACTTTTATTTTGGAAGATCTTGATGAAGAACAGAATCATGACTGACCATTCTGATACGCATTCCTCACAGAAGATGTGTTTGCAACGCAACAAAACTGGAGCATGCATCTTCTCTTGGCATATAGCACATAGGTCGCCAGCAGCATTTACCTGCATTTATAATTCAGAATTTTAAATGACAACTGCAACAAAACCACTTTGATAAATGGAACAACACCCTGCCTGCCGCAGGTCACTTTATTAAACCCATCAAAGTGCCGACTTCAAGAGCTATAGAGGAGACAATCCTATCCCATAAAAATAAATCCTGGCAACGACTGAGTATCATAGATAAGCCAGCAATAGAATCCTTGAAATTTCTAATTTTCTTCAGCCAAAGACATAACAAATTGGAAACTGGGCACATTGCCAATTTACAACAAAGCTTTACATCCCTTAGCTGGTAAAACGTAAGAGGACAGGATGGAAATTTGCTCCAATTTCACAGGACAAGCTCAAGATTCCCAAAACACACCGTTACCCATATAACTAGAGAAATTTTCATAAAGTATGGCACATAGACATGCTCTATACTGTAAAAAGTTTATTTAATTTTGCTTCCAGTTCATTTTCTTCAAAAACAGAAATCTATTAATCTGAAGTGATACCTGGCAGTATCAGCTGTAAATGCAAATATATAACCACATAAAAGGTCTCCATTGAGTTATACATTAATGAATCACAATCATCCCACCATCAACAGTGAAAATTCTTATTCATCGTCCTCATGACACATGGTTGAATATGAAGTTGTTCATTATGACACTTGATGCAATGCACGGGACAGATAGTAATTTAAAAGCTTTTAGATGAAGGTACTTACTTCTCTACCACGGGAATAAAAAAGTTGTAGGGAACCCAATGAAATGTGTGGAAAAAGATTGAGAGAACCAAAAAAAAAAAAACTTTGAACGAAACCTAAAAGAAATTATATTGTTCACAAATTACAAATATTGTGATTCCCTCTAGGTGTAATATTTTATACTGGTATTGCAACACAATACTTAAACAAAGCAAAATGGCTGAAACATTGAATTATTTAGTTCACCTACCTTAAAATGGTGGGGACCAACCATTATCTAGTGGATCTGTAGTTGGAAAACCAAGCTTCAAGTAATTTTAATGCATTTAAAGAAGTTAAAAAAAAAAAAAAATCTTTTTTCTTTTTCGAAGACACGGGTATGCAAGAAATTCTCCATTTCTCTGACGGATGAATAGATAGAAGAAGCAAAACATTGTAGCAAAGGAGGGGGAGAGATGTAAATTACAATCGAAATGTAACACAGTTCCAGGGTTAATACGGTATACAGAAATGGGCAAATTTACCTGTTCCATTGTGGCATATATTCCATAATGAACTTCCTTTCTTGATAATGCTTTTAAGGCAGAGAAGAAGCATTGAACCTAATAAGCACATAGGAAGATAGAGAGAATGGAATTAAGTTAGCACCATACTGAAATATCTACACATATGGCACTACGAAGCCTGATCTGAGAATGAAAATGTACCTTCTCAATAGCAGATGTTAGCTTGAAAGTTAAATACAATCCTGTTGTCAGTGATGAAAAAAGACTCCCATAATCCTTGTTTAAGAAAAAACGGTACCAAACTGATGTAGGCAACAAGGCACGATACAACAGCAATGAATATTCGACCAGAGTTAACATTTGGCCCTTGAAATAATTTAGCAGCTTTCAGTTAGTTGCAGAGGCAAAATATAGTTAAAAAATACATGCTTGTTGGAAATAGTAAAGAGGCTACTGCTCACCTGGCGGCGGAAGTTGTGACCTCTTCCATTTTTGTAATATATAAGCAGCAAACACTTGAAAGCCATTGCTACTTGCCGCACTAGTGTATCTGAAAGTCATTAAATATGGTGACTAACAAAATTGAAAAATTTCTGGTTACAAAACTATAAATATGTCAAGGCACATTGAAACAGTCAACTAACACAAAACTAAAGCATGGAGATATAACTTAAGAGATTCAAAACGATATTGCTCATGACTATATAGCCAAAAAATATAGCAAACACTGCAGCAAGCAAGTGGCTGAAAATAAAAGTTCACAGAACGGACATAACTGAAATATGATGCTGAAAATATATCAAACATGTGCGTGCATATTGAAGTACCCACAGGTTTGGGTTCTCTTCAGGTGAAATGGTCTTGGTCAGTTCAAGGATGAGCAGTCGAGGCCAAAATACTTGAAGAGAAGCTTGAATTTCTAACTTAATCATATGTTATGGATATACATTTCATGCCAACTACATATAATGATACCTACTATAACTATAGCATAGCAATTAAAAAAAAAACATACTAATTTTCTATTTGGGTAAAATGCTGGATTTTGGTACTAAATAAACACATACCATTAACCAAGATGATGAATATAGCATGCCAGAAAGGTGGTGCTGATTTTGGAGGAACCATGATCAGCGGGTATAAAAGATCATCACTTTGATACCACCAGTAAATGCACATCACATGAAGCATGAAGGCGACAGAGATGCCAACAAGAATTGAGACTCTCCTGTCTCCCTGCAAAATAGAAATTGTATTGAACCTCTTTTTCTCTGTAGAGGGGAAAGGGGAGTCACATGTAACTAATTGGAGGGGGAAAAGTTCAATAGACTTGGAAAATCTGGGCAAAGCACCTTCAGCGCTGTCTGCCTCTTAACAATTTCATTTGATTTGAACATCACAGCTGAAATCCAAATCGTGACAAAAAAGCCTGCAAGTTCCCAGAATTAAATATCAACATATCATATGGAAAGAATCAAAATTACAAATTGGCAATGTCACAGTGATGCCTTCAATTAGGATGAACAGTAAATAAAAGACAGGTACAGTCTAGATGATCCTCAAAAACCTTCTCTCCTAACCATCTTTTGTCTTTTCTACCCCCACTCATTCCTTTTTTCCCTTTAACCACGCAGTTTAAACCTAAATACAATGGGCTCTGCCGATATTAATTTATAAAAACTTCATAGTTTCCGTCACTCGCAAGGGCATACAAACTCTCTTTCCTACCATCATTCGACCAAGCACAATTCCTGAGAACAATTTAGATAAGGCTTCTAGCACGGCCAAGCTATTTGAATGCGAAATCATTAAGGACACCACAGAGGAAAGCATACCACACAAATTATATATAAATATGGTCCAACCATATCATCAAGTCTAGCATATCCTATCCATTAGTCATAATCTCTACAATGGGACAGTGCACATGATCAGTAAAAAGAAACAAGGGAGAAGCATATTTCTCATGGTTCCGTTGCAGCGTTCAAGGAGCATGAAGCCAAAATGAACATAAAAAACACAGAACAGATACACAGGAGTAGTACCTTGCAAGTGCTGACGAATGAAAACAACCAATAGCAACAGTGAGAAAGGAAGAATCTGCTCAATCCACTTAGCAGCCTGCTGAATATCATACCTCTGGTAAGAGGATGAATCCCCATGGTTGCTTTCCGCGGCGTTTCCGACATTTTCATCCACCTGTCCACTAGTGGCCGGTGTCGTTGAAGACACTAAGGGGGCTCTTCCGCTGCGATCCTCCGCACCCTCATCCAGTGCGGGCATTCCTCCTCTATTTCTCGTCAAATCATCGTGATCGACTTGTCCAAGCTGATTTAGAGAGGTAGTAGAAAAAGAACCTAACGCAACACTCTGTTCTTGTTCTGCAGCCCCAATTATCCGTATCGAAACTTCACCAGCACTGCTACTGCACGCGGTGCCAGACTCAGGAAGCTGAGAGCGTATTTCCAACGGGGTAACTCCGCTGTTGACTGTCGTGGCCTCTGAATCGCGAGCTGACGAACTTGAGTGGAGAATGCCCGCGTAATTTAATAGCAAGGAAACTGGAGAACGGAAGGGGCTGACAGGGGCTAACCTCATCCCGTACCAGGTTTCAGTGCTATTACTGTTACTATTATTTACACCAACAGTGGAAGATGAGGAGGAGGAAGACATGGCGTATTGTTCTGAATTAGCACCCGATGTTTCCATCTTCGTCGCAAGATTAAACTACCAATACTCAGTTAGCCTCCTGCTTGATCCTTATTTCTTTTCCAGCTATTTGTAGCCTTATATTCTATTTGAGGAGTTTCTGCTCCCGGAGATCACTGGTATAGAAAAGTGAAATAGTTTTTTTAAGCCGATAATATGGCCTGATAGGATAACAGAATTTATGGAGGGAGAGCGTGAAAACTACGTTAAAGCTGAAAAAGAAGAAAAATCCAAAGATAACCGAGGGAAGGAAGCAGTGAAATAACAGAGAACTATTACCTGACGAATGAAGCAAGAGAAAAACAAAGCAGAGTTTGGGAAAATGTGAACAGGGTTGTGCCGGGGGAAGAGAATTTAAGCTGGAGCAGCGCCGGGGGAGGGAGGAGAAGCAGGAAGGGGAGAAAAGTCAAAGGGCCGGGAAGGCGTCAGCCTGAAACCTCCGCTTTATTTGTTTAATTATTAGTATTTTGGAGGGTGCCGGTTTGGGACGTGAGAGAATAAGAGGGGAAATAATTAAAAGTCTGTCGCGTGGTGGACGATAAAGAAACGCGTTTATTAAAGAGGCATTATCAGGCTCTTTTCCCCAGTTCGCCATTTCAACGGATGGAAAGCCATGACCTGCTGCCTTCTCTTTTTCTTTTCTTTTCTTTTCTTTTCCAATCACCGTGAACATGTAAAATTATTACGATAAAAATTCATGGTCTTTTTTTTTAAACAAAAGTAAATATCATATAATTACCAAATTATCCTTATGCAAATTTTTTAAAGTATTTGTTACATGATTGAAGTGAAAGTTGCTAATTTTATTGGTCTTAGCATTAAGTAATTGAACTGTCACCACTCAACCGTAAACTTTGCCTGTGATAAAGCGTCAATAGCTTGTAAATTTCTTTCTGAGTGTTAAATATTTGAAATGGAAAAAAGTCTTCCATTTTTATTGTATCAGTGTTAAATAATAAATCTGTCACTTATAAATGTCGCTTATGATGAAAGCTGTAAATTTACATTAAGATATGAGCTTTATATAATTGCAATGAGCAGATAAATTGTTGTTGTGTTTTAGCGTTAAATAATATTCCTCCTGTCACTTATTTTATAGTCTAATTTACATTATAAAATGAGTTTTATATTTAGAATCGGAAGAGAAATAGAACCGCAAATGTTTAAGTGTTGAATAATAGAAGTGCGAATGTTGAACACCTTGATGTGGAAGTTGTAAATGAAAGAATATATACCCCCATTACAATTTGTAAATAAATGAAAGAAAAATTACTTCACAAGAATAAATCAAATGAAAATAAAAATAACTTCAAAAGAATAAACTAAATTACAATAAAATAAAGACGATAGAAAGTGTGCGTAATATTAACCAACTCTTGTTGGCATATTTGTCACTCAACTTGCGGAAAGATACTTCTTAGGTTTGAAAGAATAATTTTAATTATATTAATAACCATTACAAATAAAGAGTTTAAAATATGAAAAATTACAAATAAAGACCGATTACAATATTATTATAGGTTTTAATAATAATAATATTAGTTTTGAAGACAATTTTTACGAACAAATCCTCATCTGTAATTTTTCAAATTCCTTGGTTTTTAGTAACGATTTTTCCTAACCAATTCTTGATAATCAGAAAATAAAAAAAATTGGCCATTTCTTTTATTTTTTGGGAAAAAAGAAAAACAACTCATCAAGCCATCATCGAATTAAATAACCTAACGAAGTTCGAGTAGCACATCATCAGATATTAAATGTATATCTCAAAACCAACTGATGCCTTTTTTTTCAGCCAACTGATCCAAAACATAAATATGACAACTCATTGACAATGATGATTAACGAGTTGCCAACTATTGAACAATAAGCCTAAAATATCAAGGACCTTATAAGTTTAGTAAAAACTATGCTTTCGACTTATAAAATTAATTGATTGCTCGTTTGTCGACTTTGTAGGCACCGCCCCGGTGACTGCGACAAGCATTTTGCCATTAACGTCGACATTTGCTCTCAGCCCTCATTTCAGAAAGCAAAGACACAACAGAATAAGAGAACCACAACAAAAAAAGAAGCAGCCATTATTTTCTTCGCTCTCCCAATCTCACGAGAATCTAGAGGAGATAAGTGTTGATCGCGAGTTCAGAAGCCAATGACATGAGTGAAACAGAACATCTTACTTGTTTGGACAAACCAACATAATATACACAGACCAAAGAGCTAATTAAAATCTACACCAACGATGTGATGAGAAGCAGATGAGAAGGCTGGTTCAGGCAACGCAAAATAGCAACATGATCTGCATTTCATTGTTCGTTCATACATACGGACGGAAGAGAGAAGGAAAAATACAAGCATCGGCGTGCAGTTCTATAATCCATTAGCCCTTCCAGTTGTCCTTCCGCTTCCTTATCTCTTTTAAAGCTTCAACGGGAGACTTGCTCCCCACCTTCTCCTGAAATGGTTGTCATTTGAAATATCATTTCTGCCTTTAGATGTCAAAATACTAGGATTTAGGAAGACCAAAGGAATGAAAGACTCATAAGTAGTAGGTATCCAAGCGTATGCATGGATTATAATGCAGAACTGTGATAAATAGGAAAGACATCCATTCCATTTCTTATATCCGACAATAGAATATTTCTTCTTCTTCTCAAAGGTGATGGGAATTAAGATGGTAGTGTGACAAACCTGAAGCTCAGGTAGATCGACCCTCATGAACGGATTGGTTTCCATCTCCTCCTCAATGGTTGAGGGAATAGTCGGTTGCCCGGCTTGCCGTTGATTCTGAGCCCATGTTAATTTTTGTTGCGTCCTCAAATTGTCTGGTTCAACCGTCAAAGCAAACTGCAAGTTCTTCACTGTGTACTGAAGTAAAAGCAAATTTAAACTCTCATGTCAATGAACATTATAAAATCGCTAAAGATACTCTAAATAAGTTGTTTCGGGTGCATCGTGAATTGCAGCAGCATAAACTCCAGCAAAACAACCTATGACCACCCATTCCTTCCATTTAAATTGTTTTTGACCCCTAAACTAAGCTGCGTTATCAATTTAACCTAAGACCAGAAACTCCATATATTTTTGCATCATTCTCTGAATTGTTAGATCCAGAAAGAGATTTTTTTTTCCTCAACAAATTCGCTCCTATCAAAATAAATCATTCCTTTAATCTCATTAGATTAAAGAGAAAATCAACTTCACACTTTATTTTAAATTATGAGAGAATAATGGCATATGTTTCAAAGAATATTTTAAGTTTAAAGGGAAGATCCGCACCTCATGGCCACAGTAAACTCGGGTTGGCTTTGGCAGTGAGCCCAGTGTCACACAGAGTGACTGGTACATCTGCTCTGCAGTTCCCTCAAAAAATTTCCCACAGCCAGCAATGAACTGTAAACAAAAAAATAACAAAATAAATCTAGAGACTTCGAAATAAATTCTTCATAATCCATGCATTACATGGACAAAGATATAAAAACCTAGTAGCATACTCTGACTCTAAGCTCTTGATTGTTGGTATAGATTTCACATAAGCTCATTTAATAGCAAGATGAGATTGACGACTCAGCTTACCAGCGTATCCCCTGTAAAAACGGCCGGGTGCTCATCCTCTCTGCCAGTAACATAATAACTTATGTGGCCTTTGGTGTGGCTGAGAAGGTCAGAAAATGGCTGATGTTAATAGAAGAAACAGAAATGTGTTTCAAGGAATGGTGAAGCGAGATTCAACAACATCAAACGTGATTTATGACTAATTTTTGGTCGTCAAATAATCTATCATTGTATATGTAAGCAGGACAAGAAGTACTGCCACTTTACTCTTCATTGAAGTGAATGTTCATTTTTTTTTTTTAAAGAAAAAAAATCTCATGCATTAGCGCAGAAGTTGGGCTGGCTATTTAAATATTCATAAATACATCAATAACACAAAAGAATGGTATTTGAATTGTTGATATGGCCAGCGAAGCCAGATAATGCATTTCTAGGGGCACGTTGGAGTCGTATAAAACTCAGCATCAGACAGTCTTGCCAGAATAAATTCTGGAATAAAAAGTGAGGACCACCAACACAGAAAGAGAGAACTTGACAATACTAAAAAACAATTAGCAGCAAGCATCACACTGTTCTTCAGCCACACACTCAAAAAACATATATACTTTACGAAGGGCATAGCTCCCTTCATCAATGACTGACATGATATTCTCCATGATTACGATTTTCTGCGTTCAAATATTATGCTAAGCAGTTAACAAGATGATTTTTCCAGCACCACACTATTATGTTATACAAATGGAAGTTAGACCGTAGTCATTTCAATTGGAATTAAGGGAAGACAATAGAGGTGCAGTCCTTGTCCAGAAGAGCACAGTAAAAATCACATCACAAACCCTCCACTGTTGGGTCTTTCGTGTATCTGTGTGTGTCCAACAGCAATCTGCAATTAACAAGGCCAGCAACCATACCAAGGAGTGTGAAGGGACAATATACTAATATCAGCCCCAAGGGAGACCTTATCACCATTGTCAACTTTATCAGTGCATCCCTTCACGTTATCAACTGAACCACCATAAACCTTGATTCCAGGAACCAGCTGCTTTATCTTATCATTCCCACCCGCATGATCCCTGATAAATAATAACGCCAAAACGAGAACTTGCGTCCGTTAAGATTCTGCATCTCTTTTCATTAACCCAAGTATAATTACAAGAAAATGCATATATCAAGACTCAAAATGCTACACGTGGCAGAACAACTGAGAAGATAACTAATAGAGTAGAAGCTAATGTATGCAACAGCTTGAGCTTAACGACTAAAATCCATAAAAGAGATCAAACCTAACATAATAAATGAACATCTGAAGAGTTGTCATTTCACCAATTTTGGCCAGAGCCAATCGAACCAAATTTGTTCCCAGGTACTTAATTTCTTGAATTAATTGAGGATTCGACTCAGAGCACTGCAAACTGATAATTAGTTCCTGCAGTAGACAGTCGCCGGACCCAACTAAACTGCCTAATCAAATTATATCCACTGAAATTTAAAACTCTTACACATCCGCGACAAAATATCGACGATCCAGTACAGAATAAGCGGGATATATGCTCACTCGAAGGTATGTTTGTTCTTAAAACGGGGGGAAATAGTTACATTACCAATGATGATGCGTGGTGAGGACAAGCTTGACATCGACTCCATGGGAGTTAGCAACTTCCAGAACCTTCCCCGGTTCTACAGGATCCACCACTGCACCTTCTTTGGTACCCTCGTCGACAATCCTGCAAAACCCAGTTCAAATATTGACAGGGAAAAACTAAATAAAAGATATATTTAACAACCTAGAAAAACAGGAACTCGAAAGCGGTGTATATATTGGTCAGGATTCGAGGAACTGATAAGAAACTGGACGGCGCGT